TGGATGTTCACTAATTTGTTGCGCAATGAATGAGCCCATACAGGAGCACAGTATTCTGCAACTGAATAACACAGTGCAAGAGCATGTGAATGTAGCATGGAGGCATCGGTACCCCAAGTGAAGCCTGCAAGTTTGGTAAGTAGGTTATTCCTTGTTTTGATTTTAAAGAAGTTTTCTGGAGATGAGATTTATCAGTTAAAGTCCAGTCAAGGGCAACTCCAGGATAAGTTGGGTTTTGAATTTGAGAGGCTTACCATTTAAGGTGACAGTGATTTTCCAAGTAGCGCTGGCATTACACAGATGGAAAACAACTGAGACAATCTTTGAGATAATTGGTTTCAGGTGCCATCTAACATCAGTCTTATATCTCCATCTAGTGTGAGTTTCACATTTGAGAAGTCATGAGCTTAGGTGGCCAAGGCACTGTCATCAGTGTAAACAATTTTTTGTAAGCCAGGCACAGGCAAGTCATTAATGTACAGGTTGAAAAGGAGAGACGCCTGTACTGATCCTTGAGGAAGGTCATTCTTTGATGTCTCCAAGAGCTAATTTGCTTGGCCAGGTAGACTCTAAAGCAATGACCACAAAGTAATAGTTTGACTAGATGAGTGGCCCAATGTGGTGGAATTCCTAATATTTTTGCCAGAAGACTGGTATGCCAGAGCGTGGCATATACTGCTCTTAAATCAAGGAAAACAACAACAGTCTTCAGATTTTTCTGAAAGAGACATGCACAAAGCTAACTCAAGCCAATCAAATTTACTATACATAGGGCAATTTTATCTGGAATTAGTAGATTCAATAAGTAGTGGTTTTACATGCACAAGAATATACACAAAATAGATTAATTGATTAGGAGGTCACTATCATCCCCATCATTTTTCTGTTTGGAAGTATGGTTTAAACTATCTCTGAGAAATAATGACAAGTATAGACTAAAACACAAAAATGTCTAAATGAATATTTATCTACTTCACAGTCAGGGTGGCTAGGATCTAGAACCAACTTCCAAGGAAAGTGGTGATGGCTCCTACCCTGGGGGTCTTTAAGAGGAGGCTTGGTGTCTACCTTAGCTGGGGACATTTCAGCCTGGTTTTCTCTCCTGCCCAGGCAGGGGGTCGGACTTGATGATCTACAAGGTCCCTTCCGACCCTGCTTCTATGAATCTATGAATACTTTGCTCTTTATTCTAAATTAATCTAATATTTAGATATTATTAGTTTGAATCCTTAGTGACCTGCTTGTTTTTATGGATTCACAGATTAATAGAGTTTAATGCCAGAAGGGGCCAATAGAATAGCCAATCAATAATGTTTTGTATTTTGTTAAGTATTGCAGGGTATTAAATTTCACCAAATATTGAATCCTATCACTTGTGTAATGAATGTATGCAAAGAGGATGCCAAGACTGTGTGCAAACATGTAAAAATGCAGTGTCAAGCTGGTGAAAAGCACTGTCTGTGGAGAATTTGGATTTGATAGAGTGGAGCTGCTGCCTTTTACAACCTCTTGGGAGATATTTTACAAAGGAATAAGTGATTACACAACTTTCAGAACAGTAACAACAACAACAAAATCAGGCCCAGTAATGTGTATAGGATTGGATCATAAAAACAGCAACCTTTGGGATATTGATGGTGGAGAAGAATTAGAAATAGGTAACTCTCCACTTCCTATACGCCCTTTGCTGCTCACTCCTGTCCCAAAGGCTGAACCGATCTCCAGAGCCTAATAGTACTTTAACTTGGGATCCATCATACCTAAACATATTGGGATATTCTGCTGTCAAGTCTTCTACACAGATACCTATGTTTCTCATCATTGGAAGAGTGAATTAGTAGGAGCTGAAAATCATTCAACTTTTAAGGAAGCACACAATTCCTTGCTGAATTGAATCCAGAAATGTTAGGTATGATTTCATTCCTTAGGTACATCTGAAACACAGAGGGTGCTGACAGAAGTGATATTTTGTTGCCCGCCTGAAGAGCTCTACAGCTGTGATCTGACTGCAGAATGCTTTAAAAGTTCCTGATTATGGGATGCTCTGAACCCTCATTACATTACATGAGGACTCAGGTAACAAAGGTGCTCCAAAGCAGAGAGCCTTCATTAACTTCTGTCATTCCCACCAATGTGGGGAGAGAGTCTGCAGACATGCAGCTACTCCAAACTGAAGCTCGATCACCCAATATCTTAGAACCAACAGCAAATGTCTGTTGGGTTAAGGGGATTACTGTAACTCCTGTGAAGCACCATGAGTTACAGCAGTGAGCTCTATATCTATCAGCACCCTCAAACTCCATCCTTCCTTCAAGGCAAAGCTTTCTATTATTGTGTATGTCAGTCATGAATTATCACTTACTTTTACTGCATTATTTTGTTTCTCTCCCTCAATTACAATTAAATAGTATTCATCCCAACTTTAACTTGTTGCCTATTTGGTTGATGTCTAATTGGTAAAGCATTCTTACACAAGTACTAGAACTGCTCTTTATGGACACTTGTTTGACTCTTAAGAAGGTGGCTGCTTTTTGGTTTGCATATTATTTTTTTCTTGTAAATGAGTTTCATTATTGATAACCTTCCAGTAGAAATGCACATAAGACTGAATAAATGATAACCCTAACACAAATCTGTAACAGAAACCACATCCCATCTATCAGAAGAGAGGCATAACTTTTGAAGAACTGTTCCCTGTAGACTCCTAATAATTGCAGTATATATTACAGTCAAAGTAAATTTAAAAAAAAAGAAAAAGGCCTTCACTGGTTGAAGTTTAAAAAATAAAGTATTCAAAAGTTTAAAAACACCAGAATTAAGGTTTTTTTGTTATTTGGCTCCCTTAGTTCCCCAGGAAGACATTAAATTAATTGTGCAATAAGTTCTATGCAATTTTATCTCAAATCCCCCAAAACTGTGTTTCCTGCTATGCCAGATCTCTAGTGTCTAGCATGTCAAAACACACAATTTTTGGCATCTGTAATAAAATTCCTCTGATCCTATCACATCTGTTTGGGAAGCTCCCCAATCCCCAGTTCCCCATGCCCTGGAACCTTAATTTGTGCGTACATGGCTGGTTGCATGCCTTTTTAAACATACTGGCAAAGGTAGCCTGGGTTCAAGGAGCCGCTCCTTGATCTCAGGATCCCCTGATGCCTATTTAAACTTGATGGCACTGAGGGAACCCAGTATTGGAGTTCTTGTTCTGCAGTACCAGGCTTCCCACACATTGGGAAACTAATATGAACACATTTAAACAAACATGCCACATGTTCGAACTAATACATACTGAAAACAACCCACAAGGAGTTCTATATTTAAGGACAAATATTTTTGTAACTGATTTATCATTTTTGTCACATGACAAATTGGTTGGCCATGGCCGCTGGCAGGCACTCACTTAAAGGTGTGATGGAATCTGATCTATGAACCCAACAATCATGCCTTCTGCCATGCCACAGATATATGGCAGGACTAGCAATTTTGGGATTGGAAATTAGATCCCAATTGTGGCTTATTTACAGTGCAGGGTGAGCCCAGGATCATGATCCCTGTACCAGAAAGTTGGAAGCAGGTATTCACAATAAGTCAATTGTCATCTAGGACTAGGGACTGAACCAGGGCCTGGAATTGAACCAGGGCCTGGAATCACCCAATTGTCAAAACACCCAATAGACAGTGCACATGGTTTCATAGGTTCTAGAGCATAGGGATCTTACAAATGAACATAAGACAGTCTCTTTCCTGTGATGTATCTCTTTCCTTTAAAAACTGTGCATCCCATTGGGTTGTATATATGGTTTTCTGGCATCCCTGGTGCACAGGGACCTCAGGATTGGGAAGAATCTCCTTGATCCTAGGGTCCCTGACCTCTGGGGATGTCAGAAAACTACATGATCAGCCCATCTGGATCTCCCAGTGTCAAACTGAACACCCCGTGCTGCATATCAGCAGTTTAGGGAATGCCTGCGTCTGTGGCCTACGCGATGTGTGGTGTCACAGATGTCAGAAAACCACATGGGCAGCTCAGCTGCACACATCATTTTTAAATGTTTAAGTAGCAGTGAGCTCAGTATTCAGAGCATTCTCTCTGATGTAAGGCTTATTGCACCCTGACACCTGCTTGTGGGGGTCAGGTGGGAGTCCGGGGCTCAGGGAATAGTTCTGCCCCCAATCCAACTGGGTAAAGGACAATTGTGTCCCAGTCTCTGGGGCTGCCTTAAGGTTGATCCTGACACACAGCTGAGTGTTGGGGTCTGTACTGGGAGAGTCCCAACTGGCCACATGTTTAAATTTAAGACATTACACAAATGAACCACAAAGTTTTGCACGTCACATTACATTTAGATAACTTAGTGGCTCATTTACTGTATTATTACACCTTAAATTCACTTGAATGTGTGGCCAGGTTACTATTTAAGACATGATTAACAGGTTACTTGTATTTTAAAGGTACCGTGTCAGGGGCTATATGGCATATTATAATTTATTGCACTATTAACATGTTAACTGCATGATAACTATTACATCTGCCAGGGTGTCTCAGACATGTGCATTATAATAGACTTTACTGCATGATCCTGTACTATTTTTAACCTTTGCTTCATGTATTATTTACTGTAAATCACTCAAAATCAATATAAAGAATTATTCAATTCTTCCAGTTGTTTCTATGGTGGTCTCACTGTAGTACTCTTCCTAATCAACACCCCTATGATATGAAATGTTGTTATATTCATTTTACAGGTTGGGAGTTAAGGCACAGGAAGATTAAAGTAAAAATGTTATTAGTGACAACAAATATTGGATGCCCAATCTGTATTATTATAGAAAAGTTTTTATGCTGCCATTACTTAATATTGGGAGTGCAACTACAATTTTGAAAGTCAGGCCCTATTATCCTAAAGTGCGTAGCATGAAAATAATGAGTTAAGTAGCTCACCGAGAATCACCCAAGAACTCTGTGGCAGGGTAGATTCAATCTCTCCAGTGTCTCTTACCTGCTTTAACCATGAGATCATCTTTTCTCTTCAGATATTCCCTGTTTCTTATGCAGGCCTTCCAACTCCTGTTACAAATGAGAGAAAAACATCTTAAAGTTGACATCAATTAAGATATGAAATTAGGGGGGTTAATTTTCTTTAGAACTCAAGAGAGGTGCTCACAAATGAGGAATGTGTGTTACAATTCAGACTGAGAAAAGAGAAAAAGCAAGGGCAAAATCCCCACAGGATTCCTGCCATTCAATCCTAAAATATTACTTTGTAAAAATCCTGAAATTTTGAAGGTGTTTTACATTTTACAGCATCCAAAATCAACTACCTTTTGTCATCTTTTTTTAATCTTTTGCAAAAAAATTAACAAACAACCCCCCAAACATCTTTAATAAACAATTTACTAACCCCCCACCCCATATTCAGTTGATGAAAAAATAATTACAGTAAATAATGGTTTTAATAATATTTTTATTTAAAATTATGCTTTTATTTAAAAAAGACATAAGCATCTCAGAACACTATTTAAAGACAATTTGTTACTTTTTTTCATTTTGAAAGCACCATTTTGTAACAAGAACCCTGTAGTTAGAAACATTTCAGCTAGTCCTTTTTAATCTATTTTGTCTTTCACATCTTTTTCATTTTGCATTTTTGTTACTTGCAGGGGGATGAAGAGCTTTGAAATGCTGTCTTTTGGGATTTGATTCATTCATTATTTCCCATTATAGCCTACCTTCCCCATTCATTCACAGCTCATATATAATATACACATGCATATAGAAAGAATGTTTTTTAAAAAGTTGCCTTATGATCTCAATCTCTGCATCACACTATTGTTTTGGAATCTCTGATTGGAGAAATTTGACATATTTTATTGATAGTTACATTGAATTGCTCTTTGTCCCTAGGTCTACCAAGTTAATAGCAGCAAGCTATCAAGCTGGGAGAGCTTTTTTGTTGGCACTCTCAAATCTGGGGGGAATGCTGCTCACTGCAGCTCGTCCAGAAACACAGTTTTTTCTTCTCACATCAGAAGGCTGCTTGTCTATGCCATCCCACTTGGCTTTGTCACTGATGAGTTATGGATATTTTAACTCTTGGGGACACAGCCAGCTCATTGTTAAAAGTCTGACATAGTGCAAAACTGTTCAGTCAATACATGGCTGATGTGCTTAATAATTTCTCTGCTCCACAGTGTCTATTCTTATAGCATTTTTACATTAAATCCAAGGCTACATTCTGATGTTATGAGTTCAATTAATTTGTAGAATATGCAGAAAATGTTACGGCACTTGTAAATCTGTGTAAAAATGCCATCTTGCATAACACTGAACGATCCCACTCCCCCCCACCAAAAAAAAAAAACCCATCATGGCAATGCTCATGCTTTGAAATTATTCTCATGATTGCTATTCTCTGACCTATAACAGTTATACACAATCTTATATTGGTGCTACGAACATATTTAATGAGCTCATGCTACTTACAACTTGCTTTCATCTGCACAATTATTTATCAGTTGTTAATGCCTTACTGGTCTGCTCACATGAAAATACTTTTACAAAGAACGAATCACTTGGTGTCTGGCATTAAGGCAACAAATAAAAACACAATGATAAAGAAGAAAAAACGTCATTTCTGACCTGAAATTGCCATTGGCTTTACCGGTATTTTCAAGAGGCAACTTCATTCTCTTCACTATAGGGATCCTCTTCTAAAGATTAGAAAAAAACAATTTTAAGTATTTAAATAGTGTAAAACTAAGGTAAGAGGAAAGAAAATCAGAAATACTTGTTTAGCCTATTCATATTACTTATGGTCTAACTCAAAGACTACAAGGCAATGAAAACTTTAAAGGATGTTAGATCCTGCTAGGGTGATCACAAAAGGTTAACATTATTATGAAAAGGGGGGGGAATTAACATGAATATAAATGAAACATTTATTTAATTTTGATGGAAAAAAAATCCCACTATTAAATAACTATTATAGGAAAAATAAATCTCCCCTTTTGTCCACTGAGAAGAAGGGGGGGGGCGGGGGGGGGGGGGGGGGGGAATGGTGAAAGGGATAAGATTTTTTTTTTTAACCAAGAATTTGCTGAAAATTAAATTGTGATGAAAATGACATTTTGAATGATGTTATAAATATTCATGTAAAACCTCCTCTTAAAATTTAAAAAATGTTTGTAGAAAAATATATCCAGCTCTTAATCAGGATATTAATAATACATCAGTATTGGTATTTGTAACATACTGTTTTCAGAATAATTTGAAAAGAAGTGCTGTTAAAGTTAATGCTTTATAAAAAACAAAAAAACCTACCACTTCTATGTGTTTGAAAAATGCACAAAGACCTTAGATGCATTTTTTTTTTTTTAGGGCTATGTTCCTTTCATTCATAAATCACTCTAAATACATTGTGTCAAATAAAAAACATTCTAGAAAAGGAACAGCTAAAATGCAGCACTCCATGAAGAGGGAAATGTAATGGCTATCATAGCAAAAGAACTCACTCCACTTGAATTGGTATCTCCCAAGAAGTTGCGTGCGCATGTGTGTGTGTGTGTATGTACACAGCTCCAAAGGGACACTGTCTGCATGTGTGTGCACACATGCACCCTCATCTGTAGGGTGAAAAAAGGGAGCCATTGATAGACCATGCTGTTTGCAGAACAGTCAGTCGGCCCTATAATGCTTTCACAGCGCTCTGCCAGTAGGGTTCCAGCCCAACTATATTACTGGTTCATTTGAATGCTTGCATGCACCTTGAGGACCAGGCATTCAGACTCAGACAAAAGAAAGCTGGTACTAAGAAGGGCATGTCTACATGTGCAATTAATGTTATTTGCCTTTACTGCACAGATTAATTTACTGTGCAGTAAGTATCTGCACATGTAGATGGTGATACTTTACTTCACTATTGATTAGGTTATTGTACAGTAAAGCATCTCATGTAGACATGGCACAGTGTATGAATTGCACATATTTTTTTCTGTCTGATCAATCATTGTTCAAGATCAACAGGAACTCTGTACATTATTGGGAATAAAAGAGACTAGGAGGAACTATACTTCATTTTTCCCCATTTAACTCGCTACAAGCTTAAATAAAATATAATGGTGCAATTTTATCCTTTCCAGAGTTTTATTTAGATTTCTTGGCCCATAATTTTCCCCAGCAGCCCCAGTGATGGAGAGACGTTGTATGAGCTAATCAAGGAAAGAGAGAATCCAGTCCCTTTTAAGAATTATTTCACTTCTTCTTTCCTTTTGAGATTTTCTTCATTGCCAGATTACTTTGAATGAGGAAGATATTTTTTGCCTTCTCACTCAGTGATTCAAGGATGCCAGTGGGTAAGACACCATTTAAATTCCTTTATCATAACTTGGCAGGTGCCCAATGCAGACTATCATTTAAGAGGGAGCCTATATGCTTAACCAACAGGATTAAGAGAAGGCATGATGGCTTACAGGTTTCACTGCACTATTTCTGTGTCAACTGTGTTCATATTTCTTATAATACTGCTTGACTCAGTTTACCTCATTTGGCTGCACACAGAGAATGATGGGTTAAGTGCCAGGTCTGGCTACATGCAGGACAAAACAAAACAGATTTATAGAAACAACACAGTCTTGAATAGCTTTATTGACATTATGACATACTCTGACATACCCTTGCCCTAGATCAGGTCAGTTGAGCCTTTGAGACACACTTATGGGACACCTTTTGCAACTGCATTTAGCCCCAACCCTGCCTCTGCCACCTACTGCTTGACCACTGAGAACCAATGGAAGTATGACAAGAGCCAACTCCTTGGCCTTTGGCACTTTGGTTTTACCCAGCTCACTGAGGTCTTGCCAGCCCTTAGTGGGGGATTTTCTTCCAGCTAAAAGAATCATATCCTTGTCTCAATCCTAGACTCAGAAAAAATTATTCCCCCCTTCCAGAGAAGAGGCATGCCTATGTGGTCAAACACTCTAAAATCACACTTACCTTCACAATAAGAAAGATAACAAAAACTTATTATAAAACCAAGACCAAATATAAGAGATCGGTAACCATATGTTCAGATACAGAGATGCAACAAACAACAACAACAACAAAAAACACAGAATAACTTATTCTTACCTATTCTATACATCTTAAATCTGATAATGCAGTTTCTACTCAGCTAGTTGAGGGACTCCAGTGTTTTCCTATTCCTGGGGGAAGAAAAACAAACCTGAAGACCTGGGTTGGCTCTCCAGACAAAGCTTAAGCAGGGTTTTCATCTGGCTTTTTACATACATCATCCACTGGATTCTTGGAGAGCCCACACTATGCATATACTGTATTTTATCACATAAAAACTTGTACCCCCCCTAGTAGCTGGGGAAATTGGGTTGTGCTTTATATGCAAGGAAAAGGGATCCCCATGGGTCCATACATTTGGTGCGGGGATGGGGTGGCAAAGGAGTAGCAGCATTATTCTGGGAGCTATGGCATTTAACACTGCCACCACTTCCCACAGTATCAACACATTTTTGGACCTGTGGGGACCCTTTCCCCCATTCACACACTGGATTGGGCTACCATGCAAGGAGCATCAGGGCACATACAGATGTTCCAAGGACCTAGTCTACAATCACATGTCTTGCTTTAAGCCCTGTGATCATAGATCAGGTTCTTGTTTGTGTATATTTGCCAGTGCCAGGAATACCATTCAAGGATCTAAGCAAGCCATGGTGGGAGAAGGGGTGGGCAGGATGTGGCATGCAGTAGGGTGGGGTGGGGTAGGATGTGACAGTGGGTCCATGGGGCTTTTGGTGGGTCTGCATGGAAGGGGATGTGTCTGTCTGAAGTAGGAGTGTCAGAGGGCTAAAAAAAGCCAGGTCAGTTTGTGGGGTGGAGAGGGAGACTTAGGAAAAGCGCAGCCTTGGGGCAGGGGCAAGTGACTGGTCTTCATGGACACCTATGCACGAGCAGTGAAGCTACTCCAATGTGCTGTACTTACAGTGCATTGGAAAAGATTTGATTAATCAAGTCTGCTGGCATGTGGCAATTACCATGCTCAATCAGACTCCAGTGATTTTGTGTATCAGCATCCCTGTGCCTAAAAATGGCAGTGGGGGCACTTTAACTAAAGCTTGTTTGATGAGCTTTAGTTAAAGTGCCCCTGCCACCATTTTAAAGCGTAGGGCTGCTGATACATAAGACGCTCTGGCACTTTAATTACAGTGGCTCTTGAAGCTACTTTAATTAAAGCACCCTCCCCTTCCCCCACTCCCAGATCATATGTATAAATGCCCCATATTAGATTGGGCACAGGCTAGCCCAGTCTATGTAGTACACTTCCTTAAGTGAACTAAGTTTGATTGGGCCAGCCAGTTTTTCCCCAATTTAAACTCCTTGAATGTATGTACAATTCAACATTTAGCTCAACCTAAGCTTGTAAGAGCTGCCGATGAGGCTGGAATATGAAGACTGGGGAAAACAGAGGCTCCATGAACTGGAGACAGAGAGGCTGATGAGCCACAGTGCATCTAGACTGATAGGCTTAGGAACCCCACTTGGGAGTCAACCATTTGAAACACATATATCCTAAAGGCTTAGATGCACATGTGGGGAAGAGGACATGGATACTCGGTTTTCAGCTTTCAAGAAAAGCATGTGTACTATACCACATTTGCCCTGAGGATTGTTTCTGCTATCTCACTCCCTTGCTAAAGCCCTTGCAGCTTGTGGCCAGATAGAGATAGAAGGGACTAATGGACAGGACTATGATCAGTTCAAACAGGCCCTACTGCTTAGCACTTTAACTGACTCCTGAAAAAGTCTAAACTGACTACCAGAAAAAGTTGTGGGGAATTCGAATGACATGTGGAAGTTCTAACTATGTGGAAGGGTGTCAACCCTCCACCAAAAATGTACAGTATACAACAGAAGAATGACTTGCATTGGATGGCTTATTCCAAAGTACTTCCCAGAAGCACTACTTAACGTTGCATCATATTTAAATCTGTCATGGTGTCTTTTGCAGTTTCTAGGACAAATGGTTACATTGCAGGGATACAATTATCTCCAGTGCTCTATATGGGTCAGAAGAAACTGTAGAAAGTTATCCATTTTTGTTAACATTTATAGGACTTTTCCTTAAGAACGTACTTGAAAAATAACTTCAATGAAATACTTTAAAAAATCTTAGGAGAACATATATTAAGTGTTATAAAGAGCACCTGGACCATACATAAGTACCAATCAACTGAGGCTATGATTTTCTAATGTTTCTAAGTGACTTAGGAACACAAATTCACTGCAAATGAATGCTTATGGAACTCTCATCTTGAATTATTCACATCTTCCCAAAACAGAAACAAACAACAATCATTTGTAGTAATTAAATGCTGCTTATAAAACTGCTGACAGACAGACCGACCATGATATACATAAAACAAATACTGTTAATGCATAAATTCAGTGCATACACCATTAAAGTTACATTTCTCACTTGCTGATACTCAGCAGGGCACTGCAGTATGTGCTGAAAGACTACTTTATTGCAATATCTTGAGCTGTGTGAAATAATTAATTTACAGTATCCAAGTTAATGAAATCTTTTCTGAAAGATTAGCATAGTGTACTTTAAATTTTAAACACCCCATGCAGTTCTGTAGCACCAATATATGAATAAAAACTGCAAAGAAAATCAAAACATTGTCTATGAATGTTAAACCATGTTTATTTACTATTTAGTTTGAACGGTCCATTGTTAACTCTCTCTTCTCATATGGCTCTGAAAACTTCAAGACTATATTATAAATATAGCCTGTTTTTTAGTTTTCTAGACTTATTAGCTGCCAAGTATAAGAAAGCATTTGTGACTAGCTACGGAGACAGAATTTTGTTCATGATAATACACTATTCAATAAATAATAATTTATAGTAGAAATACATGCAAAGCCCATATAAAAACCAAGTTCGTTCTTTAGATCAATACTGGCAATCTTGCTATGAAAGCTAAATGGATTCTAAAGGCACCTTTATGTGCACTTAAAATAATACTTATTTTTCTTTTTAATAGAAATAAAAACACATTTATGTGTGTCTGGTGAAAAGTGGATTATTCAAACTATCCTGTTTCTGGTTATGTATTTGAACTATTCTTTTCTAACACATTTAGTAATTAAAAATTAACCATCTTCACTAATCAAATCTAAGCCCTTAGAACCATGAATTGTCCACATAATTGCTTATCCAAACAGAATATATTTGCAACCACTGAAACCACAGAAAACTGTGAATACCAATCATGTTTTAATGTAAACTACTACTTCATGGATTTGGATCTGCCTGGAAGCAGATGATTCACATATTATATTTAAAGTGAGCACTGATAGCTTCTGTGGCTTATGTGCAGACATTTATTTTCTTTTTTTTTATGTATTTCTCCAAAAATCCCTTTCATGCAGTTTTAGGATGCATAAGTTAATACAGTTCTAAGCCTGAATCAGTTGCCATCAACTTATTCGATGGTGAATGAGACAACCAAAAACCAAGCAAAACTTAGATGGCAGAGTGGATGAAAGGACTGCAGAAGATGGGGAGAGCCCATGAAGAGCTATATACAATGGAGATAAGTCTTTGTCCTCACTCCAGCACCATCCTTTGATTACCTCAAATAGCAATTCTAGAAGGGAGTGGATGGAGGCAATCAAGGATTTACAATCTACATCAAGAAGAAAATGAGTTTTGCTTCAGGAAATCCAAGATCTAGAGATGCAAATCAAAATTGGATCCAGCCATATTTATGCATACACAGCAAACACTAAAATGATGCAGACTGACCAACTAGACTCACGTAGTTGTATGAAGATGACTTGCATATTTCCTAGGACTTACACTGAATCATAGAAAATTAGCATTGAAAGGGAACTCAGTAACCCCCCTGCTCAAAGCAGGACCATTCCTAAGTAGACCAACAGGACCATCCCAGCCAAGGCTTTGTCTAGGCATATTTGTAGTTGGCAAACAAAATGGGCACTATATTTGCCCTCAGCCAATTGTCTGGGACCTCTCCCAATCACCATGAGTTTTCAAAGGTAAGGCCCAGAGTCTCTGCAATCACATCGGCCAACTGCTTCAGCACCCTCCATCCACATGGACTTTTACACATCCAGCTTTTCTAAATAATCCCTAACCTGTTCTTTTACCTCTGTTGGCTGCTCACTTCCTCCCCAAATTGTGCTGCCAGGATCAGTAGTCTGGGAGCTCACCTTGGCTGGGAAGACTGAAGTAAAAAAGGCATTGAGTACTTCAACCTTTTCCACATTTTTGTCATTAGATTGCCTCCTCCATTCAGTAAGAGACCCACATTTTCCTGATCTTCTTGTTGCTGACATACCTATAGAAACCTTTCTAGCAAGAGATGCATTACCCTTCACATCCTACGTTAGCTGAAACTCCAAATGATTTTTTTATGACCAGCTCTCATCTTAAGACAAGTCTAAATACCTACATTTATTCATAAAACCTGAACTGTTTATTGCTCAATGGTTGTGTGGGGCAAAAATCTTACTGTACATGAGCATGTAAATAGCTCCTTATTGTAAGAAAAAGTGTCTTTTATTTGCTCTTCTTATTAAAGGGGCTAACGATTGAAAACAGTTAAATCAAATTAAATATAATATTAAATCAAATTAAGCCAGAATACAGGTACTAGTGTTGAATTTATACTCAAACCTATCAAATAAATTTGCAGATGCTTCAAAAAGTATTTATAGATGACATCTAGAGTATTTCATTCTAAAGAAGTTTAGAGGATGTCACCGAGTGTGAACAAAAACTCTTTAGAAATTATTCTAAAACAGGTAGCAGGTGTAAAATAAATCATTGTTATTTGTTTTTAATAGTTTCTGGGAAAAGTCAAATAACAATTGGTCCGTTACTTCAAACAATCTAAAATGGAGTTGGATCTTCAATTTGTTGTAATAAAAGCTGCATTGCTTTGTACTAAGAAAAAAAATGGCTCTCCTCTCACTTCCAAACAATAGACTAGGAATCAATGCTGAACTCTACAGTGGAGTAAAACTTGTTTAAGGATGCATACAAATGTTCAATTGAATGGCAGAAGTTAAACAGTTTAGTTTAAGCAATTAGAAACCCTACTCTACGTGTGTTACAGGATCCAGGTGAGTGCTCCGCAGACACCCTGCACTGCA